ATATTTAAGGTTTGAAATCATGCATCAGCTCAAAACCAGAAGAAAATTAAAGAGCAAAATTTTTGGATATGTTATATCTTTTGAGGATATCCCATTTGTTTCCGGGGGCATTTTTAGAGATTTAAAATGCGTAAATCAAGAGAAAAATGTTTGAAATTGTCTTAGCAAACATTTAACTGTAAACATTATAAAAACTATAATATTATAAACTATAAACATTATAAACATTGTAAAATCCTAGCAGTTTACAACAAGCTTTGACAACATTCTCTTCGTGGGAACCTCTTCAAAGGAAACACTCTCAATGTTAAAAGTATTCGAAATTTAATAAATAATAAAAATCACTTTAATTAAAAAGTCTGGAATGTCAAGTTTAAACATGACACAGCAATTGCTTTTTATGTGAGTAAAGAAAATTATAAAGTATGCTTAATGACATATTTTGATTCGTTAAGGATAAGAAACAGTTTTGATTTCGGTTTGTGTTATTTGATTTGTGACAAAGCACTTGAGGGCCATCTACTGAAACTGACGGATGCTTTCGGGGAAGACTTTTTAAGCGAAATTACTTGTACACACGTTAGACATGGGAAAAAATACGCATGCAGGCAGCTCGTGTGCGGGATTCAAACCTCGGACTGAACGACTAGTGCTCGGCGACTTTATCGCTCTGCCACTAGTGGGTGAAACAGCTTTGGAATTTCTAAATTCAATAAATAATATTTTAGAAATGTATATTTAATAGATTTTGAATTATAATTGAACACATCATTTAATGTGTTTACTTCTATTATAATGCTGTAGAGAACTTGCAGTCTAATACTTTTATTATAAATATTAGGATGATGCATAGCTGTTAAATTTATTAATCTTTAATTACTTTTAATATTTAGTGAACTAGATAAGATGCTTGAATTCGTGGATGAAATGTTCGATGATATCCATAATACTAAATCTGCTCTTCTCCGATGGGTGTTGGAATCACTTGAAGTTTACACAGAACAAGAGGAAGAAGAGGTAAGATTCCAATTTATCAGTTCAGTTTCTGTTTTTAAACATATTTGCGCTTATAATTCATATCTTTGTATACCCTCATAACGATATCTGTTACTTAGTTTTAAAACAGTAATGTATACGAAAAATATCAATGATTGAAATAAACAAATGAGAGGCATTCTTATTCCCTGAGATTTACATATTAAAATTTCATTGTAAGTTTTAACTGCATTTGAATTTTGTTTAAAACTCATTTCATTGAAATATAAATGTTATATATTATGCTTTTTGAAATGAAAACATATCATGAATTATATAAATTCTAATAGCGGAATCTAGAAGTATTGTAGAGACATTAGGTATTTTTGGAAACAGGCAAGAGAAAAAATTAACAAAGCCTTCGCCGGGAATCGAACCGCGGATCTCTGGAATACCGGCTCAGTGTGCAGACCACCGCACCATGAAGGCACGCCAAGAAAGTGGGAGAAATACCTTATAGTATATGTTCGCTAGTCCGAATTATCTAGATCACTATTGATACATTTAAAAAATAAATTACGAAAATTGCACAGGTAACAAAAACGGTAAACGTTGAAATCATCGTGGCAGAAACATCACCAAAGAAAACAACGCAAGGCGAAAACGTCATTGTATATGAAACACCATAAGCGAAAAGATAGCAAGAAGGAAACATGTTATTTCTATAATGCCGTGGTATAAAACATCGTCGTTGAAAATAAAGCGGTTCAAAAACACAGCAATTTTAAACAGTTATTGTAAAAAAGTATCGTTTTAAAAATATTGTATATATCGTGGCATGTCGATAACATCAGAGACATGTGTTTTTCAGGCTTTGAAATTTGTAAATGTATATTTGCATAATGATTTGTGATTTTGGAGAAATAAAGAATATATTTTACTCCACATTTCATATTTTTAATTTTATTATTTAAGTTTTTCAAATAAAAAATATCAAGAAGGAAACTTAAGCATTCAAAAACTGAAAATGAGTAGAACGTTAATGCTACGTATAACAGTTAAGATAATTTTAAACTCATGTATTTAGCTATTAAAAGTCATTCTAACATATTTAACTATATTTTTTTATGAAAAACTGTCAATGAAACGTTATAAAGAAGATTAAATAATGAACTTTAATATTAGTTAACTACATAAGTTTAAATTTTTAATAACTGCTATACATAACATTAAATGTTTGCTCGTTTTCAGTTTTTGAATGATTGTGTTTCCTTGATTTTTCTATAATAAAATTTCAGTTTATTAAAAAAGTATGAAATATGTGCATAAACATATTCCTCATTCCTTTTTGCGTTCACAAATCTTTATGCGAATATACATTTACAAATTTTAAAGCCTGACATACACATGTCTGCGATGTTAACCCCATGCCATGATTTGTATTTGCTTCATTTTTTACAAAGATATTTTAAAATTACCATTTTTTTGAACCGCTTTATTTTCGATGTTTTATGCCAAGGTGTTTCGTTCGAAGATATACGTGAATTTATATATTGGTGCGTTCTGAAGTTTGGCATATTAGTTGAAAGCGATAAAACATCAAATGTGGTTCAGCCACTTTGCTAAAATTATTTGGAAGTGGAAACGATGTGACTTTTTTTCTGCTCGTACACAATGTGAAAAGGTAGGAGCGAGGTGCCTTTCTTCCCGCTACGGCATAATGAAAGGAAAGGAAAATTGGTTGCCACATATTAAGAAGGTCGCCAAGTGAATTATTCTTGGCGCAAACTAAAAAAATTGGTCACGATAATTTGAATTTCTCCTTAATTCCCCAATTTTCCAATTAATATCTTGGCATAATTTGAGTCGTAGAATCGAAATATGGAAAAACATTGGTATGTTATTTCAGGAAAAGTTGGCTTTTGTATGAAAATACCTATGTTAGAACAACGCTATATATAAATCTAATATATACCCTAAGTCGCGCTTTCGAGACATGAAACCCGCAATTTGAATTTTGTCAATATGTATTGGCCCAGTAGAACGAAATGATTCTTCCTTCGCCAATAGGAAAATATTTTTGTGCATTTTTTCACTCATTTCATTTCTACATCGATTATAATTGCCACTGATTTGCTTGAAACCAAACAAGTAACAATGCGTCTCTAACAATATACTTAGGCTCCAGCTAAGTGTGCTATTAATCAAAGAAAATTCTAGCAGATGAAAAAAAAAGATGCTCTGTCGCACTATTACTACAAAATAAACATATTCACCTAAAACGTTTCATTCTTAAAATTTCTTCTATAATATGAAGTGGATCGTATATTCGAAATGGATCTAATTTTCAGGTAATAAAAATAGATAAATAAAAAATATTTCGAAAATCAGTACCTGAGTAGCTTGCATAAATAGAGAAAAAGAATAACAGTTTAAAAAATATACTGTTAATGACACCAACAAATGTAAGTTTCGGAACCATACAGTTAAATTATAAAGCTTCTTTACAGAAGCTAACTACAGTTTTGTTTCTTATATGTTTATACTGCTTATTTAACTCATGTATTTAAATACAAATAAAAATGCTTCACAGATAGATGCTTTGTTACATCATCTAAATCGTTGTTCGAAGTTAGTCCGCAAGGTTGCTTCCGAAGCGACTGTGTACAAACTGATGGACCAAAATATCTTAAGAGACGCTGCCTTGTGCTATACTCATGGGCTTAGAACTGGAGCAAAATCGTATTATGAATTATACCTGAAACTTAAAGAAGATATTAGTAAGTAGCAGAAATTATTCACGTCATTTTGAAAATAATAGTCTGTCAAATTTAAGCAAACTTATCCATTCTACCCTATCGGAGTATTAGAATAAGCGTATCAATTTCTTGAAAATGAAAGCTGTCAACATTAGTTAAAATAATTTATTGCAACTTATAAAAAAAGTTAATTGACATTTCACAAAACCTATGAAAGTAAGCCTACGCATTTTAATTTTGTATAAAAGCACACTCTATTCTTTATAACATTAAAGAATGTGTACTTATTTCTTCCATTAATTTGTTAATGTTAATGAAGATTAACTGTCCCATTTAAACGATATAAAAATTTTGAAATCTTAATGCAAAAAAAAAAAAAAAAAAAAAAAAAAAAAGGAATTGTTTATTTTAAGCGAAGTAATCAATCTTTATATGCATTAATTTCAATAAAGGGTTTTGTTCGCTTCGAAGAGAAATTTTCATAATTCGAATTTTCTCAAAACCAGGAACATCCTGACTTTTAAACCCTTTTACCTCAAAGCAACGATTTTACAGATTCATAACTTGGGCTTAATATCGACAATTAAGACATGATAATATTAATAAAGTGTAAAAAACGTCTGTATGTTTTTTAACCTCATAATCGATTACATAAAATTTATAGAACCGATGAACTTGACATATTGGATGTTACTGGAATAGCCCCTGAGAATATCTGTTAAAATTCAACTGTTCTTGTTTCGTTCTTAGGTTATATCAAAGACTACTTTTACTCGATGTCTTTAAAGCTTGACGGCTTGATTTCCAGGAATAAGAATTACAGAAGCTAACTTCATGCTCACAAAAGAAAGACTAGACACAGTATAGCATAAAATAGATTACTATGTGAATGCTGGCATATTTCGTTCGCAATAAAAGACTTGGGTATTCAGGCCTGTAGTTCGAAGCATGCTTTTAGCTCTATTACTCTGACTACCAATAAGTATTTGGACACCTATGCAAATGACGATATCTGCGATCCTAAGGTACGTCACGGACTCCGCCGGTATATATCGTGTAGGAATGCATCGGCTTTAGTCGCATCAAATGCTCCAGTTGGAGCTCCATGATTTCGAAGGTATAATTATAGGGTATCAAAATGGGCCGATCCTTAAGGACAATTAAGCGATCTGAAGTACCAAAATCGACAGTGGCCTATGTGATTAGAAGTAGAAGGGACGATGACTGTCGAAAGTGCGAAGAGTCGGCAGACCACGAAATGGAGATAAGACCGACGAGTCTGTCCATAGAATTTTGAAGACCGCACCCACCGATGGCCCTCATCCGCGAGGAGATTTCACAGGTCCGGGAGTTTGTATCAAGATAAACCGTAGGATGGTTTTCTGCTTGGATTCATGGTTGTGCTGCGCCAAAGCTTTGATCAAAAAGTCAACCGCGCTGTCGGTTAATGGGGTGCAAAGCATCGAAATTGAACCGTAGATCATGGGACCGGTTCTTTGGATGACGAACAGATTCAACCTTACTGTTCGATGGCAGGTCTGGGTCTGGCGTCTACTTGGAGAATGTCTCTGCCAGAATTTCATGTGCCAACAATAATTCGGCGGAGGTTGGAATTATGGTCTGGGTGTGTTTCCTAGTATGGGCTGGACCCTTGGTCCCCATTCATGGTAAGTCAACTCGATCCTATGCACTATTTTGGATGACAATGTGCTCTACGTTGGGGCAGTTTTACCGGTTGGACCCTGTTACTTTCAGACGACAATGCCAGTTGTCATGTTCGACGCTAACAAGGCTTGGTATGGTGCCACTAGGTCATCGATGGACTGGCCTGCCCAGGTCCAGACGTGAACCTATTGAAACCTCGGGACGAGTGATCGCTGAATTCAATGCACTACCCGTGCAAAATCGGGAAGAACTTATATGCTGCTCCAAGCCGCGTGAGAAAATCCACTACTGTCATACAAAGACTGTGGAAAGTATGCCCGGGGGTTCACGCTGTATTCCCTCCGTGAGCTCTACCAACTACTGATTTTGAATAAAGTTAGCTTTTCTTTTCTATCACAGGTGTCCAAATACTTATTGGTAGTCAGTGTATAAAAGGCGTCATGTCGCAGTTGTAATGAATATCGAACTTTCGCTCATGGCGCTATCTCGTAGCAAACATTATTATGGACAACTGAGACTGTTGTCTTCAATAGAGATGGCTTTAACTGAGAATGTAGATGACATGACTTCAGAAAGATGTTCTCAAGGCAACAACACCAGTGACTTAAATTATTGAAAGTGTTCCCATCATTTGTAAACACACTACGTATGATAAATTATTTATATGCCTTTACCAAACATATTCACATGCTTAATGAGAAAGTAATGTATTACTCTGCTCATTTTGTGCCAAACTACTTTCTTGTAATTAAGTTCATTGGCGTTAAATTCTGCTGGTGAAAGTCTAATATAGATCATACTAAATGTTCATATTTTCTTTTCAGATTCTAACTGTAAAGATAGCTTCCGGCGCAAGGTTAAAGGCTTACTGAATGTCAAAGCCGATGAACACATTGAAATAGGAACATTAGCAGGAGGAGTAGAAGACTGCAAGACGTTGTGTCTTAGTGAAGAAAGGTGCAGGGCGATTGGTTTCGTGGACAGCATCACAATCACACTGTCGCATAGGAAAGGAGACGTTAAAACAGTCAAAAAAGCAAATCAGTAAGTAGAAGCAGAATATAGCTAATAATTGCTTAAACAAAGCATATAAGAAGTAAATCCTGCAAAATACAATGAACAAAAGTTTCAAGCTAATTCTTTGTTTTTATAAAATAAACAGTTTCACAGTAATTCTGTTATTTCTAGCAATGTATGAAAAAAAATCGAAAAATATTTCCTACGTGAAGAAAGAAATTATGAAATGAAAAATCAATGCTATAAGCCAGTGGTCTCAGACTCAAAGTATCCGTGGGCGAATCAAATTGCCCAACCTGAAAGTACCTGACGAATCTCAATCAAAACAATACAAAAAAAAGTTTTTGTTTTTTAACAAAATAAAATTTGTCAACTAAATTAAAAAAAATATTACATATTTGTCAATGAATATATATAAAAATAAGGCAAAGAAAATATTCACATTTTTACTTATTTTCCTCCTGAGATCTAGAAGTTTTCCTATTTACTTGAAATTTTTTTTGATCACAATTTCTAGTTCAAACGTTTTGACAACTAAATATTAAAATTTTCAGATTAAATTTTACTCAGTGAATTGTAATGTATTAAAGTAGTCATTAAATAACTTACTTTTAAACATAAACTGAAGAGAAATATACAAAAACTTTCCAAAGAGAGATAAAAACTTAAAAATAAGTAATGGCAACCTATTTTCTTTCTTTTATTATATTTTTCTATAACGCATACAGAGAAAGTAATATTTGTGCTTAAATAATTATAAATTTCTTTGTTTCTTGCTGTATATTTCAGCCACGACACCTGATAGTGTTCAGTTTTTATAAAGTTTCTAATCTTGGAGAAAAAATACTAGAAAGTATCTTCATCACAAATTGTAGATACTCATCGGCAGTCTGGTCCTTTTAGTAGATTTATTAATTAAATTCAGTTTTCGACTACTAAGAGAACTGTTTACCTGTACATGCACTGGTAAAAAAAGCCATTACTCTTATTGCAAAAATACATGATTGAGGATATTAATCTTCTGACAAGTACTAATAAAAGTTAATCAAATTTGTATATTCAAGTCTGAATTAGATTTATATTACAGAGTAAATTAATCAGCTCCACTTTCAGGAGAATTACTCATGCTCAATTTTGGCAATGAAAATAAGATGAAACTGGGTTCCATGCCATTGAAATCTTAAACGTTTTCTTCAAATTATTGTCAGAATAATTCCAATTAATTTATGGGAAATGTATTCGAGAGCGGCATAAAATTGCTTCGGGAGCTGTATGCGGCCGGCGAACCGCCAGTTTGAGGCCACTGCTCTAAATTATTTTTAAACAATTAGATAAAACACAGTTAAATGCAATCAAGAAACTTCTCTTAAAAGGTAAATAGGCGGATAGAATAAAATAACTAAAAAAAAAAAAATCTGTATTTTTAATTCGAGATACAACTTTGATTAAATTTAAGATAATTTATTAATTTTTATGTAGAAAAAGCGTGAAGAATTTTACAATTACATATATATTTTTTGATTGTAAAAATAATAAATAATTGCATTAAGACACATTCAAAAACTGTTGAATTGCACTCAACTTTAATAAAGCTGTGGGACCATGAGCGCTGTGATTTGCAAGCCTCATTGCGAATGTGATAAAATCATTTGATATTTATTTAAAATTTTAGAACACTCAAAAATTTTTATTTTTGTTTCTAAACCACATTTGTAGTACCTTAAGCAGAAAATGCTGAATTTAATCCAAAATCTAAATTAAACTATTCCTAATGCTATACGATTGTTTGAAATTATATATAAATCTATAAAGATTTTAAGTAAGATATATTAAATTTTGAATTTTTTCCTCAGGGTTGTTATAGCATACCTTCGTTTTTGCCTTTTGACTGATTATTTATGATAACATTACGTAAGCAATCTAACACAGTTAGGAATATTTAATAATAAAGAATGCCAACGACGGATGTTGAAAGAAAATTAGGGTCTTCTCTCTTAGAAAATTTATATAATACTTTTTCCCATATTAGCTTTGGCTATTATTCTTTCCTTAGATAATTTTAATAGATTTAAGATAATAGAAATAGAGATTATTTATTAAATAATCAGCTTTTTGAATTTAAAATATTCTTTTAATATTTAGTTACAATAGTTTCCGATTTATGTAATGTATTAGAATTTAATATTCAAGTATTCTACTATCATTGCATTTGACAGTGACATTTCGAGAAATTGATACTAAATATTTTTATTTTAGGTGTCACATTTATTTTAGAAGCACAAACACAGCATCGATATACACACCAAATGGAGCTGAAAATCCTGCTGTATATGACAGAAAATGCGATTAAGGGATGTGTTGTGACGAATTTCAAATAAAACTGTTCTGTTTGTAAATTTGTGTGTGGTGCTGCCATCTATCGGCTAATATAGTAATCGCATGCGACAGAAAGAGAAGCTACAGTTATGTAAATAAAAAGTTTTACAACTTTTTATTTTTTCAGTTGCAGAAGCAAAATCCGAGCAATACAGTTAAATAACTTGTTTTATGAAAAATAAAACTTTGTTGTTAAGAAGTTAGAAATTCAATACACATTTTAAAATACAAGGAATTTTAAACAGTAAATTTTCTTCTCTTTTAAAAAGACTTTGAAGTATTTAAGTAAAAATAACAACAACGTCTCCTTTCTGAAAACAAATAAATAAACGAAGTTCCACAGAATTACAAGGAATTGATTACAAAAACGAATTTACAAGGAACAGGATTGACTTATTCCTAAAAACGTGTATTTAAGAATTATTTTACTCCTTTGTAATTATCAGTTTATTTTTAAACTGGATTAAAAATAAAAAATTACTAAGCATTACTAACCAGAAAATTTTAACTTATTTTAGGCATTTAATTGGGTGTAGTAAAAATATGTGAGATATGTTCAACTTCAACCCCCTTCGCCTCTCTTTAAACTATAGCTATTATTAACGTGAAAGTTACGGTACAACTACTGCACTACTCCAACGTATAATGAAATAATATGTGAAAGAGTAGTAGTAGAATTTGGAATTTAAATAAAAAAAGTATTAACCTTATACTGACTTTTTTTATAGAAAAATGAACCTTTTCCTGTTAACTTGGCTCTAGTCGCCGAATGTGAGCTAAATATCGTTCATGTCGCGTCATAAATAACTGCCCAATACTTAATGTGTGCAATGCAAAGGCTATGCACGAGGCTGAATTCATGCATTTCTCTGATATTTTCGTATAAAAAGACAAGGAATTACATAAATTCACTTAACAGAAAAATACCAAAACATTCTATGAATTTTAATCAATGGCAAAGAAATATATTAAATGCAATGAAAATGACGTAACTTAGCTAAACGAACTAAGAAAGAAAGATAAATTCGAAGGCCAAAACTACAAAACATTCAACAGAAGTATTTAAAGATCCAATTCATATAGAATATTTTAATTTGAAAAGAAAATGGCAAGCAAAATCCTCCTTCGCTTCTTGAACATGTTCGAACTCCGAGTTTTCTGCAAAATGAAATTAAGAATCAATTTTTCTAAATTATAGAGAGGATGTGTCAACATAAAACGCACTAGAAAAGTCAACATGTTCCAAGTGCAAAAATACATAAAAGACAATCTTTAAAAATTAACGTTATTTCAATTTCAGAACAAATTAATTTCTAGAAAAAAAAAAAAAAAAAAAAAAAAAAAAAACAATATTCTACAGAAATGCATTATTGAATGATACGATTTTTGAATTTTTTTGGAATTAACACAGTTTTCTAAATTCATACACAGTATAGTTACAATCATATATACATATAGTTTTTGATTGCGCTCGTTATTTAGCACAATTACAGTAATTTATTTACATGCTTTTTATTACCCCTTATTTTAATCTTTATGCCATCGAGATGGTAATATGGGTTTGAGTGCTGTAGTTGGTGAACTATCGAATAGGGATAAATAATTTTTTAAGCAGGATAAGATATTCACATCTTCGACTTTACATTTTCGAATCATTTTTCGTGTTTCGAAGTTTTTGAATTGTATCTTAAAAAAACTTTTAAATGTTTAAACTCTGAACTTCGCAAAAATTATTTTTAAGTCTAACAGAAGCATTCGTAAAAAATGTGAAATAACCTGTATTTGAACTGCTACTTATTAGCCCAAAATGGTTTTATTTTCAAAACATGATTTTGCGTGTTGTTTCACTTTTCATTCCACTCCGTTGTCATTCGGAAAAATGCAAGATATTTATTTTTCAAATTGAATCTGTTTGTTACCGATGAAAAAACCAAAGAAGCTGGAATAGAAAAAGGTAGGTTTAGCAGTTTCCTCCACCACCCGAAAATGAAACCTGCCTAGCAAGAGTCTGCTATGTTAATGAGATGAAAATATTGTTCTATGGCAGTGAAATGTTCTTGTTTCTAGAATGTTCCGTACATATACTTTAAAGAAAACTGCATTGAATTTATAACGAATTTTACTGTGTAGTTACATTTTTGTTTCAAAGTAATTAAGAATGAATATTTGTAATTTACCATATACAAAAATTGTTTGAGAAATAGTGTGAAATCTAAAGGCTAATGCTGTTAATTTAAAGTTTTACTTTAAAAACAGTTAGTTTTGATTAATTCACCATATTATCGTAGTTTAATAAAGAATCATTTCATATAAAATTGTTTAAGGGTCAGGAAAGGTATTTTATTTCAGTATGCTTCATAGCTCAGCTTTAAGCTGTAATATACTAAAGCAGAAATTCACATACTTTTTTAATATTCACATAGTTTTACATAAATAACGTATCATCAGTAATCACTAAAACAAAATTGAGTAGATTTATGTAAATTTAAGGAATTTTATTTTATATATGTTTCATATTTATGAATCTCGATTAAAGAAATTGATGTAAATTCAAGCTCTTAAAGAAATGAAAAACATAAACATTTGCATATATCTTTCCAAATGTTCAATTATGGTAAATATTTTATTTATTTTTATCGCTATATTGAATAGAAAAATATGCTATATTGAATAGAAATAAATGCACAAATTACATTCATAACAGTTCACAATACATAAAACTGCAAAACAGTTACTACATAAGAAGAAAAATGATACTATATTTAATACTTTTACAATTCATAAAAGTCAAGTTTTCAGTTTTCATGAAAATTATCGTTACAAATAAGCGCAATTCAAATCCTAGCGTGTTAGCAATTCTAGAATTGCATCTTAAGAAACAACGATACTGATTATAAAAGGAATAGGGAAAATGTGTTAAATATAATTTGATTAATAGCAAGTCTTTTTTTAAGCATATGGAATGCAAAATAAGTGACACGGTGATATTTTAAACATTTGAACTAAATTACATGAAAAGTAACCCTGGAAATCTTTTTAGACATTCTATACGTGCATCCATAAACATGCATAAATTTCGTGCATTCATGCAATATCCCATATTTCAAAAAAAAAAAAAAAAAAAAATACTATGATGATCCAAAGTGTTGGGAGAAATGTGGCTGTCGAGGATTCAGTTTCTGAGTTGAACACTTCTTTCTTCTATTCTAACATTGTTAGAAAAACCTAAAATAATTTTAAAGCTACTTACGAAGCAACAGATGCAGTTCTTAAAAAATTATTTTAGTTTTGAATCAGATTCAATTAAATAAAAATACATTTTTTCATAATATATCTAATTAAAGCATGAAATATTTTAATAGAATTACGTTATATATTGTTCCGAAAAAAATTAGAAGTTAAATTTCAAAATGTCGTTCTATGCAATATTTAATTTGAATCTTAATGTTGAATCAACTCTAAGAACAACTGAGAATACTGAGAACAAACGAACAACTGGTGCCGGACAATTAAAATAAAACTCACATTCTGAATCTCGAAGCCGGTGATTGAAGTTAAACTAAATTACATATAAATTACCATCATTGTAAAGCAAATGATATGATTTCAAATTTAAACTCCTTAAGTCAACCCTAAAGAGATAATATCCTCTCTTGTGTTTTAGTTCAAAATCAAAAGATTATCATATTTTCTTTTACAAATAAAAAATGTGAAAATATAGTTCATTATCAAATTATACAAATGCTATTTCACAAGAACAAATTTCCACAATTATAAATAAAACTAACAATTCTCAATTTTTGTAAAACATTAAAAACCTACTGTTTAACCATTTCTCTCTAACAATAATAACTATTCATCAAACTATGAAACTCAGAAATTAAGTAGAATTCAATTACTATTTGAACAACTCATTAAAGCTGAACAAGAACAACAAGAGAATATCGAACAATTTATTAAAGCTAAAGAACTTCACTCAAGCTGAAATTCCAAATTCTGAAAACAAAATTCAGCCAAACATAAAACAGACTATCACTGATCCCGCGCATCTTTACAAATCTAACCAATATTAATGTTAACAAAAATTAATAATTGAATTAATTAAAAAAAATCCAATTTCTAATCCATTTCAGTTATACAAATTCCCTAAAATACATTAACACATTTTACGAAGTTAAAAATTCACAATTTTATTAACACATCAAATTATTTTGATATTAAAACAATTTATTAAAAATGGAAATGACCAGACCATTTAATTAAAAATGCTGTTAGCAAAGCCAAATCGCAAAAAATGCGAGTTAGCATACAATACTTTAAATTAACTAACTGGGTCAAAGAACTAGGTGAAAGCAAGTATATAAATTCAGCTCTACTCTAAACACAATATTCCCATAAAATGCATAAGCAAGGCAGAAATTAAGTATACAATTCAAAACACGCACATATGTAGTGGTCTACCAGTCGCGATGTCACGACACCAATTACCTGAATATCAGAAGAATACAGAGACTGATATGATTGTCCTTAAGATGTTCTTAAGTTTCTTTCCTACAGCTGTATGTTTCCTTTTCGCAGATCCAAGCATCCTTTCGAGCAAGCAAGCATTTTTCTCAACACTTTAAGACTCGAAAAGCCGAAATTTCAAGCAGAAGTCTCAGCGGCTAGATGTCATCATTTCCGATGAAAAGAAAGGAGCTCATCTTGTCTGCTACGGGAACACTGATACTCCTTAATAATTAACAGGAGACTTTTCAACATTGACACCTTTTAATTAATATCATGCGACTTTTTTTATGTGGCTGGGACGACTGTAAAAGGAGTGCCGCCCGTCAAATTTCTTTACGCCTGAAAAACTGGACTAGGTCGCCGGGCTACGATCGTAAACTCACTCCTCTCTCTGCCTTTTATTGTAATTTTTTTGAAAATTTAATAAGTTGAAAAATCTGCCCCTGGCTCTTGTGCAACAACTTTTAAAACCTCGGCAAAGCTAAATCACGGACTGCCTCTAAATTCGCTATTGGCTCATATTAACTATAAATTGTTATTTACCCAATCAAACACTTATCTTGAATTCATTCTAACCAACGAGGAAAAAGGGTAATAATTTACCTCCAGATTTCCAAGAAAATTCTAACCCCCTTTAAAAGTGACATATCTGTTCTCACGCAAAGCTTCAAGAAATGTTCTAGACCAT